ATATATATATATATATATATATATGTATATATATATCCCGTTCATCATCCCCAAAAGAAGACGAAGAAGAAAATGAGGCAATGCCATGGAGCACACTGTATTGGTGCTGACGTTTCGGAATCTTCCTCGATTCCATCATCAGAGTAGTGGTAGTGTGTTTGTTCCTGCTAGCTCAGAGTTGTTCTGTCTCGCCGCCTGTCTCGTGTTATAGGCATGCCTGATACACGAACTCTGACCTGCTTGCTGGCGGGCGATTGGCTTAGGTCTCTCCGTGGCCGACCGCTGGGGCGCTGGTGTGCCCTCTGCCCCCTGCCCGGCCGCTGTTGTCGCTGCTAGGTCCGTGTGCCCTTGGGCCCTCCCCCCATAATTTGACGGGCCGATCGGCTGCCGTTGCATGTGGGAATCGTGGTCGGCTGTTTGGGCGCGTCGGTGGGTCGATGTCTCGCGTCGGTCGTCTGACAGCCGGCTGGCTCTCTCCCCCTGCTGGGAAGGTGACAAATGTTGAGAGTGCCGTGGTTTGTTCGCCAGTGTTGTCGGCCCCGTCCGTACTGACTGGAGCCTCGTACGAATCGCCTGGTACGCCGGATGAAGCTCAATGGCTCTGTGGATTGTGTCAACTGAGGACCAACTTTCGAGAACCAGTCTGGCCATCTTGTCGCTGGCTCGGCCGATGACGCTTGCCTCCCCAAAGGCGAAACTGTGCTTCTGTCAGAAGTTGTGCGGTCGACAAGATAAAGATTCCCAATCAAAAGTCAGGGAAGACGGTTTGAGTTGGACAAACTTTACTGCTAGGAAAGCGTGTACACAAAGGCTGTGTGGGCAGTCGCCACAAGCGCGCTCCGAGCAAGCTGTTGTCTGCGTCCGCCCTCGAGGTGTTGTCCTCGTGTGTGTGCGCCCTTCGTTGTCTCAACCTCGCCAGCCAATCAGAGTGGGGACAGCGTTGATTGGCTTCGAGCACTCGCGCGGCCCAGCAGCGTGTCGACATGGAGTGTGAGGCGGACAGGAGGGCAGCGTGACAAAGACGGAAAGCGTGGAGACGCGAACTGCTACAGTACCCCCCGGCTAGACCGAAGGTGGCGCGTAGCGATACCGAGGGAACTGTTGATGTCTAAAAAACATGAGTAACCAAACGGTCAGGAAAGTGAACATGGCGTCCGCTACTGATGATATATACAGGGGGCACAGGAGTAGAGTGAGTATGGCTCGCGGTTACAGTGTTGTTGGTTGATGAAGGAGTAGTTGCAGTTGTGGGTTGCGGACATGGGGGCAAAGGAAGTATACGGGACGGAGGGACAGAGGATCGGGGAGGCGGAGCAGGGGGTGGGGGACCACAGGGCTCATCCGGAAGAGTGTCCGGGACGGCAGCTTTGAGACGGTCCACGCTCACGACCTCCTCGCGAGTGCCGCGTTGGATGCGGAAGTTCTTCGTCCCACGAGAGATAACTCGGAAGGGGCCGTCGTAGGGTGGTTCCAGGGGCCGGCGGACTCGATCACATCGGAGATAGACGTGAGAGCATGTCGCCAAATCTTTCTCGAGGTAAGATTCGGAGACGGATGGCCTGGGCGGGACCGGAGAAAGTGTCCGCAGGAATTGCCGGAGGCGATGCAGGAGGTTGATTGGATCCTCAACTGCAACTCGCGGGGTTGGCGAGATCATCTGACCGGGAAGTCGGACAGTGGCACCGAACACGAGTTCAGCGGCAGAACAATCAAGGTCCGGCTTCAGAGCGGAGCGGATGCCCAAGAGGACCAGGGGAAGGTGGTCTGCCCAGTTCTCCAGATCGGCCGCGGCTCGTAGGGAGGCCTTCAGCTGGCGGTGAAACCGCTCGACCATCCCATTAGCAGCCGGGTGATAGGCTGTCGTCCGAATGCGGGTACAGCCTAAAAAGGAGAGTAAAGACTGGAAGAGGTGGGATTCAAATTGGACACCACAGTCAGTCGTGATAATGGAGGGAGCACCGAAAATGGCAACCCAACGACTGAGGAAAGCCTTGACGACCGTTGGAGCTGCGACATCAGGCAGTGGAATAGATTCCGGCCACCGGGTGGATCGATCCACGCAGGTAAGGAGATAGGAGCAGCCATTGGACAGAGGCAGGGGGCCAACGATGTCCAGGTGGATATGACTGAATCGTGCGTCCGGAGTAGGGAAGGTGCCAATGGGAGTTTTGTTGTGCCGTCGGACCTTATTCCGTTGACAGCCGAGACACGCCCGTGTCCATGCTTTCAGGTCCTCGTGCATTCCAGGCCAGACGAAGCGGTCGGAAACCAGCTTGTCGGTTCCTCGACTCCCAGGGTGAGAGAGATTGTGCAGGGAGGAGAAAACTTTGCGGCGGAGAGATGGTGGCACAAATGGACGATGAGATGGGGTGGATACGTCGCATAGAATACTGCCGTTGCCATTTGTCAGTGGTAGCTCCTGAAGATGGAGTCCGGAAACATCCTCATCACAGGGTGGACCGACACGGCGTTGTTCAACGGCCATCTCAGCGAGGTTTATCCCGGGTAAAAGCTAAATATGAGCAATAGAGGGCCTTGAGAGTGTGTCAGCCACCTCATTCCGTGACCCGTCAATATGGCGGATGTCTGAAGTGAACTGCGAAATGTAGTCCAGGTGACGGATCTCCCGGGAGCTTAGCTTGTCAGAGTGGGAATGTATTGCAAACGTGAGTGGCTTATGATCAGTGAAAATTGTGAACTCTCGACCTTCGAGTAAGTGCCGGAAGTGCCTTACGGCAAGATAAGCGGCGAGAAGTTCACGTCCGAATGTGCTGTAGCGGGTTTCGGCTTTGGATAGTTTCTTGGAGAAGAAAGCCAAAGGCACGGTAGAATCCGGCAGACTTTGTTGAAGAACCGCGCCAACAGCAACATTGGAGGCATCGACCATCAAAGATATGGGTGCATCAGCGTGAAAGTGAGTCAGGATGGTGGCGTCAGCCAGAAGGGCTTTTACCTGCTCAAATGACGTGAGTGCTGCTGGTGTAAGTTCAAAGGTGCGTTTAGAACCTGAGAGGAGATTGGTCAGAGGTAGGATGGTGTCGGCACAGTTTGGGAGATACCGGCGATAAAAGTTCACCATACCAAGAAACCGTTGCAACTGACGTTTCGAGGTAGGGGGTGGAAAGTCTAGAATGGCGGCAACCTTTGAGGAAAGACGCCGAATGCCGTGGGAGTCGACCAGATGACCGAGAAATTTTAGGGAGGGCACACCGAGGACGCACTTTGACGGGTTGAGAACAACGCCAAATTGTTGAAGGCGGTCAAGCACCGTTGCCAGATGCTCCATGTGTTCTTCGGCGGTGGAGCTGGCTACCAGAAAGTCGTCGATATAGGCGTAGACAAATGGTAAGCCGCGAAGCACTCTGTCTACAAACCTTTGGAAGGTCTGGGAGGCGTTGCGAAGTCCAAACGGCATGCGCAGGCACTCAAAGAGGCCAAAGGGGGTGGTAACGGCCGTCTTCGAAACGTCCTCTGGGGCTATGGGAATTTGGTGGAAAGCACGGACCAGATCGATCTTCGAGAATACCGACTTGCCGAATAGGGCACCGGCAAAATCCTGAAGATGTGGGACAGGGTAGTGGTCCGGGACAGTAACGTTGTTCAGGGCCCTGTAATCACCGCAGGGGCGCCAGGCACCAGTGGCGGCCTTTGGAAACATGTGGAGGGGTGAGGCCCATGGGCTTTCAGACTGACGGATGATGCCCATTTGAAGCATGTGCTCGAATTCGGCCTTGGCGGCAGCAAGACGTGTCGGCGAGAGATGGCGGGGGCGAGAAAACACGGGAGGGCCGGTGGTCCGAATGTGGTGAACAACGTCATGTGGTGGAACAGAAACGTTGAAGTTGGGACGAGTGAGGCCGGGGTATTTGGCGAGGAGTTGCCGAAATGGATTCTCGGGTTCAGGGTCCAAGACGGCAAGATGACGGGAGGTGTCACAGGAAGAGATACCCCGGACAGTGAGGTTGGTGGTCTTGTCGTGTAGACGTGACTGACGGCAGTCGACCAGAAGATCGAAAGCGGCGAGGAAATCTGCACCGAGAATTGCACAGGGGATGTCAGCAACGACGAAGACCCAAGGGAAGAGACGTCGGAGACCGATGTCCAGAGAGAGGGAGCAGGTGCCGAATGTGGTAATCGGCGATGTGTTGACGGCCTATAGGAAAAGACCGGGATTGGGACACCGACGATCAGCTGGTGTGGGTGGAATGACACTTAGCTGGTCACCAGTGTCAACCAAGAAACGTCTGCCACTCCTGGTGTCGCGGACGTAAAATGTGTGACCAGGGTTAGAGCTGTCGGAAAGATTGGTTGCACTGAGCTTCCGGCTGACCGGTTTTACCCGTTTGCTCTGCTTGAAAGTGAAGGAGCAAGGAGAGATGCAGCGACGGGCTTTGACACCAAAGGTGGTGTGGTACCAGCAGGTGGCAGCTGCGTTTGGACGGGCTGAAGGAAAAGACTGGGCATGCGGGGTGGATGGCTTCGGTTGGCTCCGAGATGAGGTAGAAACTGTGGGCTTCTGGAGAGCGGCTATATCATCGGCCAGCTTGTTGAGCTCGATCTCTAACTGCGAAATGGGAGACGCAGGAGGAGTTGAGGGAGTTGAGAGTGCTGAAATAGACGGCTTGGAAAAGCCGTGCATCTCCATAAGACGATCAGCCATCTGAGTAAGTTGCGTTGCCGAAAGAATGCCGCAGGCGGGTGCCAAAATATGCTGCACTTCTGGTGGAAAATTGTCCATGATCAACACCTGACTTT